GTTAAAAGTTTTCTTAGTGTTATACGTTTACCCAACTACAACTATCCAATCTATTTGTGAATTTCCTTCTGTATGTAGCTAGTTGTGTAAAGACTTAATTTTCTGCAGGAATTTTACTATTAGTTAATTACTATTTATAATCGGATTTATTCCTTAAATATGTATTGTTTTCTCTTTTATGCTTGTCAATCTAGCACTATCATACCCCAGTGTAAGCAAATAATAAACACTGAAGAGCAATTATGGTGTCATAATGTTAATATCAAACTTTTGGATATTCATTATTTTGCAGTGTAATATCTTTTTTTGAAAATTGTTTTAATTGGGTTATTTTCTGTTTTATCAGTCAAATGACGTATCCAAGAGAGACTTAGGTGACTCACCCAAGGCGTATCATACCAATCAGTCCCCTGGAAAGTATTCTGGATCTCCAAATTTAAAATCCCCACAACAGATACTTATCTCCCCAGTTAATTCATGTGCTTCTGGTCAACAGCAAAAATATCAATCAAAATCCCCAGTTCTTATGGCTTCACCGAAGCTTCCTACACCTTTTGAAAATCAGGCTCCTATTGATCAACCTATTATAATTTCACCATCTCGTATCCCTTACCCATCCCCTCCGTCACGTTCCGGTTCGAATAATCGGATGCCATCACCACCCTCTGAGAATGCCCGCATATCTTCACCTCCGGATTTCTCAAATCGAAACCAAGTGAGGAATAAACTGATCATAAATAAATTAAGGTTTTTACCGACTCACATCCGTTTTAATTTAGTTAGTGAGTGATAGTTTTAAGGTTTTTTTTTAGTTAAAACGAATATCTGCAACTGGTTTTTGTCGTAGTCGCACTGTGTTTGAAATAAGATTTTAAATAGGGTTACTCATCTACCACACCTAGATAATCACTTGTTTCTGATTGATACCATCCGGTACTCATAGTTTGGTTCCAAAATTATCTACCTGTCTATTCAATGAAGGGTATAAACTACCAACAGGTTTTGCATAATGGCTGCAATACATAACCCCTACCAATGAAAAAGACAAAAAATTGTTTGTATTTGAATGACGATATGTTTATACTGCAACGTTATTATTATTATTATTATTATTATTATTATTATTATTATTATTATTATTATATAGTATTGTCTAAGTTTAAAATAAAAGGTTTCATGTAAGAAAGTTGAGTGTAGACACTCCGTTCAAATGTTCTGTTACAGGTTAATGGACATTCCACCCTATTTTTTGTTTTCAGGTTTCTCATGAACTTTCTAGAATCCCAACACCACCACAACCAGATAATAACAAAGAACAGGGTAAATTGTTTTCAGAAGAAACAGACCTACATATACTGGAGGAGATTCCGTCACCTGAAAAACCTAGGAAACAACCCTCACCTTCAGACAAACAATTAAAAGTGACTCGTGGTTCCCGGTCTGCTTCCAGAAGTTCTACGCTAGGTTCTAGATCGAATTCTAGTTGTGAATCTGATAGCTCTAGGTCTTGTTCTCGATCACACTCCCAAACAAGTCCCAAAAAACGACGCCGACGAACCCCTCGTAGTCCTCCACCTCATCTTGTTGAAAAGTACGTGCTATTTTTGCTTCCTATCGGTTTGTTGCTCATAAATGCCAAAGTTTTGAGACTTCTGATTTGTTTTGTTCGATGTATAAATTCGCGTGGTAAATTGCGGTTCTATTGGCATATAGTAGCCGTTCAGACAACACGCTACATTAAAGGCTCGCAATCTTTAGTGTCCTGATGCTAACAGTTAACAAGCCTTATTTTATTGTCTGGTGTATTTAATATTAACCTTACGTAAATGTTTATTTAGATGGAAAATGCGTCGTGAAATGCTAAACCAAAAGCGTCGCGTCGTACCACCGTCTGTAGCAGCTTATGCACCTTCTGGATCATCAGAAGATCGTCTTCGTGGCGTTGAAAGACGTCATTTATCGGGGAGAAGTACTCACATACATTCTCGATCACCATCACGTTCCATCCCAAGCCGTCGACGAAGTCGATCCTCAAGTTCACGCTCTAAATCAGGCTCATACACACATGGCCGTACGAAGTTAAATATTAGACGTGGTTCTCCTGAAGCAGAAAGTATCCGCAGTCGAAGAAGAAGTCCAAGTCGTGACAGAAAGACATCGCGTTCAAGATCACATAGCCGCTCGCCTCCAAAAAGTTTTGGGTTGAAGCACAGAGGTACTTCACCAAGTAAACCTATCATAGTAATAACTAAGAAAAGTCAAACTACTCAGTAAGTTTTATCTTCCCTATCAGTTTCAAAAGTGTTTCGTAATTAAGTAATTTTACTATGAAGACTTTAAGAAAATTTGGCGTCAATAAAGTAAAATTGCGTTGACCAGTGTACCAGACCAGTAAAATCCAAGGTGTTTCAGATCTCAGTTACTATACATTTAATGAAGTTATCATGACAAATGCATTAGGAAAGTTTAAGAAACCATAACCTCAATATTAACTTAGATGGTATAGCTCTTCATAGCGTTCTAGTATCATCGACTGTCTCATCTACTGATTTTCATATTCGCTCAGGGTCTTAGTATTATACCTCGAAGAGTTTTCCATCTGCCTTGCAAGTGACTTAAGTGTACTTATTTTAAGACCTCAAATCATTAACTTTCAGTTGCTCAGATGTTTTGCCATTGTAAAAACCCAACTCCGTGCTGCAAAATTTCACCAATTGCAATATACTCTCATTTAAGTGATTCTCAATGTTATTCTTCGAAAGATCATTTAGCTAACCAGAATTTCTGAAAAAAGGATCAGCTATTTAATTGACTGCTCGGAAATTGTTTATCATTCAAGTAGACAAACTTTTCTTTCATTGCCTTATAGAGCGTAAATTCTATTTTAGGGTAAAGCAACTTTCAAATGATTACTCAAGCAAGAATCCGAAATTTGCAGCTGACTATCAAGGATAAACGTGTTTACAGAACTACTAGTCCTGTAGCCCTTGGTTTTACTGCTTTTCTTTCCATTTCTTAATAGTTAAGACTCTCCTAGGTATATATTTCTCAGAAAACTCATGCTACATTGATTGGTACAATAGAACAGCAAACTAAACTGCGTATCCTGCAAGGTTTAGAAATGATGAATGAATCCATCCTCTATTTCTAGAGGGTTTAAGCGCAACATCATACTCGTGTAAGAGGATACAAAAGCACCGATTCTCGCTGCTCCAAAACAGTAGTTAAGTTGAACAGTTCTACGTTATTTTATATTACCTAATCTGTGCTACATACAACATTCTTGAATCACTCATCTGAGGCGTGAAATGTCACTGAAGACAGTTGTAACAAAACTTTTGTTAGTCCACCTTACTGCGAAATGCAACACCATAAAATGATAAAAGCTACAAATATAATGCGCTTTTTCTATTCATTTATGTTTTCAGTATGTTTCCGATCTGACTCTTGTTTCGATTAGAGTGCCAAAGCTTTTATGGTACAAAATGTAAATAGGTGCATTGAGATAAACGTTTGCCGCTATCTCAAAAGATATATATATATATATATATATATATATATATATATATATGTCCAAACGGGATGATAGTGTGTTTTTCTATTTTTTCCCCACAGAAAACCCACGAAAATTGTCACAGAAGATCCACCCACTGAAGTAAGCTACATTTCCGGCGATTTCTCTTAAAAATGTAATTGTCTTTTACTACAGCGTAATTGTTAAACGTTGGAAATTATTTTAAATCGACACATTTTGGGGGAAAGTTGTTTCATTGAATTATGACAACCTATCGTGAATTCTCTGCAGAATATTTCTTATCCTTAGAATCCATGCTTCTGCGAATCTTATTTGAGTTCAGAATTTCTGAATTTGTAAGATGCACTTTCATGATCCATCTCCTAATGGGATACGGAGATATTTTTAAAAACCTATCTCAGGACCACAATGGAACGTTATTAATGTGGTTTTTAAAAATCATGTTATATGGTTCCATGTAAAATCAGTTTCAGCACAATTTATAATACCAGCTGATTGTACGGGTATTGATTCCAGTGAAACCACGTTACTTCATGTGTATTAAATTTTTCAGGTATTCAATAAAAATCCAATATATTTATTATAATTCCTTAAGATTTAATTGATTATCTGAGCACAAGTTAACATTTCTACTTATTGCTATTTTCGTTCCAAAGAATACTGTTACAACCAGTAAGTGGGAAAATTCCCCTCAAATCGTGGAGAAAAATACAAATCAACATCTAGGTCCATGGACTAACAAACATTGGGAAACAGGCGATAAAGTTGAACTTGATGAGTCTGTAAACAAAGACGAGAAAAAATTAGCTACTGCAAAAACCCAAGGTCCAAATAGTACTTCAGTTCTACAGAGACTTCGTGTAGTACAAGAGGATTCTTCTAAGAATGAAGTACATTTACATAAAAATGAAAATTCTTCCGCTGCTGTCATTGATAATAAGGAAAAACTAGAAAACTCAATCCCTGCTTCTAATGAAACTACGTCTATCCCAACCGTGCCAACTATGATCAAACCCCAAGTTCCTCCAATATCTAGAAATCAAGTATGTTTATGTCGCGTTCACTTATTCTGCATTGGTAGTCGATTCGCTGCCCGAATTCTCAAACCGTGTAAAAAGTTCCAGTGAAATGATTGACTTAGTTTTACCTGTTAGATAACCGTATTTTCTAAATTGCATATGCAGAGATAGATATTATATTAGTGTTGAGACGTTAAAAAGAAGTAACTAATATTCTGCATATCCTTAAAGGAACATGTTAATTTCTATCCGGTGTAAACCATCTACAAAAAACAGGATTTCATATTCGGCTTTTAACCATATTTTATTTGTAACAGATTGTAACATTATTCACCCACTTAGACCAAAGTAGATGGCACGGAGTTCGAACCTGTAAACCAACAATTCAAAACTGATATTTAACATATTAGAGTACTGCACTGTAACAAATAGATGTCATATTTTTTGCAGCTGCTGGGTTTTAATTCGCAAGATTGGAGAGAACTATTCATTTTTGGTTTAAAGCTTCACATAGCTTTGATATTTATTTATTTATTTAGAAGCTTGATACAGAGATCAAGTAAATAATTTATCATAACGCTCATCAACTTTGACCAATTACGGTGGACTGCATAGTAATCTACAATAATGGTTGATGGCAACAGTTACAATCTTTATATTCGATGGGATAGTTATACTTTTCGTTTAACTAAAATCTTTAATTCATTTTTCGAAAAATATACTGTGTGAACTTTCTGTCTTTTACTAAGAGCCATTTATCGTACATTAAAATTTTCAGTAATCCAAAACTCAGTATTGGTTATTTAAAAATTCTCAAAGTAATGTTAAGTTTCATATCGATAGAAAGATTTCTAGTAAATTGCACCATACATTTTCCTAGGGTAATAAACTGGGAAATCGACTGTGTCAAAATGCCCAATATAGTAATTTTTATAAAGATTTATAAACAAGTGTGCTTTGTTGTAAACACAAGCTTCCTTGTCTTATGGAATGAGTTACGTTCTTCAAAGAATGCTATGAGATGTGATCATGAAACAATTTCTACATATTTATTAATGTCATATGTAGATTGTTTTCAGACGAATGGATGAAGGGTTCACAATATTATTAACCGACAAATAAATACAGTGCAGTTTTTAACTTGAATCACACTGCAGATTGACTCAGTGGCATACAATGTCGAGTATATTAGACATTATAAAAAAATAAATTACGGTCATGAGATTCAGTTTTGTCGTATAACGTCGCCACATAATAGTTCAACTTTTGTATATAAATAAGATTCATATTACTTTTCTTTTTTAATTTCAGTGAACATACAGCAGTAACTCTTCCTTGTATATCAGCCTAGTAAATGACAATTAATTTCCTAACTTTATTTCAATTGTGAATTATGAAACATATTTTTCTCATATTTTCAGGTCAAAAAACCAACTGCAATCAGAGGAAGGTCTCATTCATCCAGTTCTAGTTCTGCATCTTCATCTTCCTCATCTGGATCCTCTTCAAGAAGTTCCAGCAGACCTAAGCGTTCTCGTAAGAGATGTCGGTCCATAAGCTCATCGGCACGCAAAATGCAAAGGAGTGACTTTTCGGACTCCAGAAGCAGGGGTAGGGGTAGTCGTGGACGTTACTCTCCAGTCAGTCGTTCCTATTATACAAGATCACGTTCTCGTTCATTTTCAACAAGAGCTTCGACGAATTGGGGCACACGTACCAGCTATCCAAGTCGTAATCGTTCTTGGTCTAGGTCTCGTTCCAGATCATTCTCCAGAGACTCTCGATCTCATAGCTCAAGTGCTCGTCGTCATAAACGTCGTCACAGGAGAACGCGTCGTGGGAGGAACTCTAGTCGTAGTTGGTCATCATCAAGAAGTTCTAGTAGATCTATAAGACGGCGCTAACTGTAATATTCTCATATAAAAACGCCTTGTTCAGTCTTTTGTTTTAAATGTATTTATTCATGATATAAATATGTGTTTTTAGTTCATTTTTACAACCCGTTTCGTACTAAAAACATGCCGCTTTAGTTGAATAAATAGGCGATTCTATCATCAGATGAACTTAAATTATAAATATAAAATATTGGAATGATAATAATGATAAGTTGATTCACAACTTATAAAGTTAACTGCTGAATAAATAAGTCAAAAGCTAGTCATCAAATTAATCGATTTCTGCGTTCAGTTTCGGAAACTATTCTGTTTCGGTTTTTGGACGAGGTGGTAACGGAGGCGGTTTTTGTCTTGAGGGCGTTTGTGGGGCGACGCGTGTTGGAGAAATAGGATCAACCTGTAAAGTGCAAACAGTTTATATTAGCAAAAACTGAGCGTGAGTAACAGAATTAAATTTACACAGACAAAAGAACAATATTCTTAACTATTAATAAAATCCAACAAACTATACTTGCACAATTCAGATATATTGGTTGAGCATTTAAATTCGGTAACTAGGTCTCAGATTTTGGCTTTGATAGATCTGGGAAGCTGAATAGTATCACTAGCCCTCATATTAGCTCAGAGTTGGAATATGCATTTGAGTATTAAGTTATATGATAACCATAAAGGTCACAATGTCCGAAATGAACATCAAAATTATGACGTTAGTTTTAACGATGGTCAGGACAGTTTCCAGGAAGTGGTATAACTTTGTGTTTAGTTTTCTGTTGTTTTCGTACTGTTGACTTTCTATAAACTCAAGGTAAATCTACAATCTTCATTTGCACCCTAACAAACAATCATTTCGCAGTCGATAATAATTATCCTTCATCGCGTATTGTTTTATAGGATTACTGAGAAATAGGGCACATATATATGAAGTGTTCTCACAGTTCGCATGAACAGCTTCTTATAAGTGGGAATTTTGAGTCTTTCACTTCATCTTAGCTTTAAAATCTCAAACAAGGAATATAAGGAAATCCTTCAATGATAATTAGGGAGTATGAAGTTAAGGGACATCAATTGTCTTTTTCTTGGTTTATGCCTCAAGGTTTATATAAAGTAGTCACATAAACATGAATATTTTACTGGAATATGGTTACTTCAGTGCTGTAGCAAATCAGTCCGCGTATCAGACCTGTGTGGAGTCGAAAGGCACTCGTTCACGGTGAGGGTCATGATCTGATTGGAACTTAGCAACTAGGAGTACTTTACCACGGTTCCACTACTTCGCAAATGGTATTCTGTTTATTTTATTTCAAAAAAGGACTTCCAACTATTATATAGATGGTAAATGGGTTGGTTAATCATTTATACCTATCATCTTCAAGCCTCTGACAGAACAATGTCCACTTATTTTTTCATGTTTCCTAGTTTCAAAGTTTATGAACATATTTCACTTACATTTATAAGTGCGGCATCCTTGTTATGGTTCATAGTTGTAGATGAATCACTTTGTGAAGAATACACAAGAGTAAAGGGATCATCAGTTGATCTGTTTTAAGAATTTAGAAAAAGAAATCCGAATAATAGTGCAGGATAAAACTGGGAATTCTATTTGTAGCGATCAAAATTTGAAAACTATTTTAAAGTACAATCAGGCACCAAAAAATCAACACTTCAGTGAAGTGATGAAGAAATGAATGGTAGTCAGATCAATGCGCAAATGATCAAAAAAATGGTATTTAGTATGAGATACACTTCAGTTAGAAATGCAAAGGAAGAGTTTCTCTTTATGAAAAGTGTAGCAAAAAAACTATAGCTGGATGGTCATTAGATTCTATACTGAGCTACATTTGATAACGTATCTAGCCAGTAGGCCTCATCATCACCTAAAACCTGAATCAGAAAGTTGTGATCGATCGACAGATCCCAATCTTGTAGTTATATCATGTCACAAAATGACTACCTTTCTGTCTTCGCTACTCGATCCCGGAATCAGCAAATAATGTGTGATTCGGAACTCGTTAAGATAACACGAATACAATAATGAATAGTTATAAATTATTTTAAAAAACGTAATCTTGATTATTGCTGTGAACATTGTTCAGTTAAATGACGTGGTACATATTTACATGTTATTTCCCTTTCAGACGATGGGGAGAGTAAACTATTCATTCAAGAGCGTTCAACTACTGAACTACTTTTAAACTAGATAGTAAAGTAGTGGTCACTTGAAGCAAGTAGCGTGTAACAGAATATCACAGAACAGAAATATACCAGTTATAAACAAAAATGCTGAACACTAGATCTTGATATAATATGTTTCAGACCAAGTTAGTGCGCAATTCAAATCAACACTAATTGGGAAAAACACTTGGTAAAATATGGAAGTAAATTAAGACTTTTGACAATACAAACCAGGGTAAATGTCAGTTCAACTGCAATAAACATGATCTAAGTTCTTTAGCAGTTGGAGTTTATTTACCAAGTTTAAAAAATCGAGGAAGGATTTTTTTCCCCTAAAAACAAGATACTTCACACACACTGACTCCGGTCCTTACTGGAAATGCATCTGTCAGCTGTCTTCCATGCATGACTTTGCACTGTAGTCCATCGTATGAGTTTTGGATAATGTTGACAATCTTTTCAGGAACTCCATAGTGTCGAAGAAGTTTCCATAATGTTCTCCTGTCCACGCTGTCAAACACCTTCTTATAGTCAATGAAGTTGATGTATAGTGATGAGTTCCACTCGACTGATTGTTCAACGATGATCCGTAGTGTCGCGATCTGGTCTGTGAATGACCTATCCTTACGGAATCCAGCCTCTTGATACCTAAGTTCGGCGTCTACTGCGTCTTTCATCCGATTCAGCAGCACTCTGTTGAAAACTTTTCCTGGTACTGATAACAAACTGATGCCTCTGTAGTTTTCACATTTGCTCAGATATCCTTTCTTTGGTATCTTGATGAGATATCCTTCTCTCCAGTCCATTGGCACTTGTTCCTCTTCCCAAATCTTCTTGAATAGAAGGTGAAGCATGTTTGCAGTTATTTCAATGTCTGACTTCAGTGCTTCTGCTGGTATATTGTCAGGTCCTGCCGCCTTCCCACTTTTGACTTGTCTGATGGCCATCTTGACTTCTTCGGTGGTTGGTGGAGTGACATCTATTGGAAGGTCTGTGTGGGCTGCTTCGATGTTCGGTGGGTTCAATGGGGCTGGTCTATTCAGCAGTTCCTCGAAGTATTCTGCCCATCTTTTCCTCTGTTCTTGAATCTCAGTGATTATCTTTCCTTCTTTGTCCTTGACTGGTCTCTCTGGTTTGTTATATCTTCCTGCCAATTTCTTCGTTGTATCATATAGTTGTTTTATATTCCTTTCTCTTGCAGCTTTTTCCGCCGTCGTTGCTAGTTCTCCCATGTTTCTCCCCATCTAAATGTAAATTGTTACTCCAGGACTGGCCTGAGTCAACACCTGACCTAAGAATAGGGAGCGAAATAGTCGAACGCGTCGACAACTTCACTTATCTTGGAAGTCTGATAAGCCTTAATGGGTTGGTGTCTGACGAAATCTCTGCACGAATTTGGCTTTTGCCGACCTACGTCACCTATGGCGAAGACGAATATACTACGCAGCAGTTCGCTCTGTTCTACTTTACAGCTGTCAAACATGGTCATTAAGAGTTTATTTATTTATTTAAACACACATATATATTGGAATATTAAAGATTCCCATTGTGAAAATTAGAACAACATATATTGGTACAAAAAGGCACCAGATACATATGCGCCACACAAAATAATGAAAGTAGGAAGAGAAGGGATGAAAAGATAAGGCGGACTGAAATGTACAACCAGAAGACTCTTTCAGTTAAGAAAGTTAGAACCACTCTTTATGTAGAAATTAAAAGAAGGTTACAGCAGGTTCGCCACTGGCTTCTATTCTGAGCCATATCTGATAACGTCTCTAGCCACTGTGTTGCACTATCTCTCGGACCCCAGCCAGGGAGTCGTGAAGGACCAACAGAAGCTAGCCCTTTGCAGCTTTCTTTCATGCCACGACACCATGTCATACACTGACCTCCTCTCCGCTTTTTCCAACCAGTCCCAGAGTCGGCAAATAATGCACGACGTGGAATTCTCTGGGACGACATTCGTAAAACATGTCCAAGCCACCGAAGTCGGTGTTTCGAGATGGTGACACCAATTGAATTATCGTCTCTGCGCCCCAACACACGATGCCAAACCTCTGCATTACTAACATGGTGTTGCCACTGGATGTCAGCAATCCTTTGGAGACAACGATGATCGAACACAGAGAGTCGTCTAACATCCTCAACTCGGAGAGGCCAGGTTTCACAAGCATAGAGCAAAACTGCTCTCACCGACGCGTTGAAGATCCGACCTTTTACAGCCAGACTAACATCACGAAGGCGCCAGAGATGGCTCAGATTGGCATAAGCCGCTCTGGCTTTCATTATACGTGCATCAATCTCATCACTCACGCCACCACCAGCACTTATGTAGCTACCTAGATACACGAACTTCTCAACTACTTCAATCTGCTCACCATCCAGGGTGAGTACAGGATGAGAATCCTGCCAGTCTTGTAGGAGTACTTTGCACTTGGAGGGTGCAAAGCACATGCCGTACCTGCGGACACTGATTGCCAACTGATTAAGTGCGGATTGCATGCCTTGGGCATTATCGCACAGTAAGACATTATCATCCGCATACTCAAGGTCGAGAAGTCGTTCTCCAGGCAACATATCCACACCGCCATTACTTACATCCACCATAGCTGTTTCCAGGATGTCGTCGATGGCAAAGTTGAAGAGGAATGGTGAGATCGGGCAACCCTGCCTAACGCCACTGCTCGAATGAGTTGGAAGAGCTTCCGGCAGTTACCAGATGCAGCTGCTGCTTCCATCTCATTAGCACGCTTCGACCACCAGGCTTCCCGGTCCTTACGCAAGCTTTGCCCGATTTCACTATGTAAAAGCCTTCGTTTGTGGTCAAACCCACGGTCACCCGGAGTAGACCGACGGGCTTCCATCAGTTGTAAGGAGCCAGAAGAAACCCAGTGCTTGTAAGCGGGACGCTTCGCAAAGCCGCAAGCGGCTTCACTCGCCATTTTCATGGCGTCGTGAAGATGCAACCAATGCTCATCTATACTTTTCAGTGGGATGGTAGCTAGCCTAAAAGCTAGCTCCGCTCGATACTTACTTGCAACAGAAGTTGCAGCCAGTTTACTAACTTCGATCCGTTGGTGGTGGTCAATCCTTCGGCCACTGAAAAGTAAGGTGAGATTGGCGCAGACCAGGGCATGATCAGACTCCAGATAGGTACTCCTAAAGGAGCGGCAGTCTTGTACACAACCACGTCAGCGGTAGCTGATCGCGATGTGAACTATCTGAGTCCAGGCTTGAGATGCAGACGGAGGACGTCAGGTGGCACACCGACGATGACTGTGCCGGAAGTTAGTGCTAGCCAGAAACAGGTTGTGGTCTATGCACAGTTGCAGCAAACGGTCCCCGTTATCTGTTCTGCGATCAACAAGTCCCCACCGGCCACCTAAACGACTCTCTTCTGTGCCTAGACGCCCGACCTGAGCATTCAAGTCTCCGGCTAATACTACAATGCCTGTCGAACGCGCTTTCTGGAGAAGAACTGTTAACTGGTGGTAAAACTCATCCTTGATTGCATCCGGGCTGCAATCTGTCAAGGCATAGGCGGAGAAGACGAAAAGACACCGTTTCTCACGCCGATTTCTTCTCACTTTGATGGAACTTTCTAATCTAACAGCACATAACCGACTGTTAATGGGGATCCAATCGATTAGTGCTGCCTCAGCCCTAGCGCTTAGTGCAACACCAACGCCTGCAAGACCAGACGAAGATGCCACAGAGTCCCCGGATAAGCGCACGTGAAACAAGCTTTTCGAAGCGACAGATGGAGAGCGAATTTGTAGTACTTCACTAGAGTCTTGAATACGGGTCTCGGATAGACAGCAAACATCAACATTAAGACTTTCTAAAGACATAGCCAGCCCCATCTGTTGTCCGATCTGCATTAGTGTGCGAACGTTGAAGGAAGCCAGCTTGAACGGTGTACGCGGTTTCAGAAAGACTGCCTCAGTATTCATAATCGGTGGAAGCATTCACTTTCAACCAGACAGTGACTGGAGATCGTTTAGATAAAACAGAGTTTCCACCATGGGCGAGCTACTGCATAAGTTGGAAAGGAAGGATGCACAATTTGGGAATAAAGGGAGTGAAAAAGCGACGTAGTAAATAATAGTAATAATAATAATGTAAATTGTCTTTCTTCTATTAGGAACGAGAGCAGTGTAGTTAGTGTAGTGCGTCATTTCATGTCATTTGTGTGTGGGCTGTGATACTGCCCGGGTGCCCAAACTGAAGCAGGTGGTTTTCTTAGGGAGCCACACCCCGAGCCTTTGACCTAAAGATCTGATCCACAAGGCAGTGGAGCATCGTGAGGAGATGCAGTCCCATGGTAGCCGGTGACCAACAGCAGGTTCATTCGCCACTCGT